CCATGTTTCTTTTGCTTTTCTTTGTATTGTATACGAACGCAAGATTTAATGCCACAGACGAAAGAGGAACAGACATCTTGAAGCTAGTTTGGTTGAAGCCGATTCAATAGTGTTATTCATATCTTCATGCACTTAACTCAGTTTTAACAAAAAAGACTGCAGAAACTTATTTTTCAAATCCCGTTTTATGCGGCTGCTTAGGATTTGTAAAATTTGTTATTAATAATACTATACAGCTTAATTATTTTATTACTCTATTCAGATGCCCCAAAATATCTCCGCCTTCATTTGGATCAAAAACAACAAATTTCGCGTAAAGTATTAAAGGATCTTGCATTTTCTTGTCCCATATCTGTAAGATGAACATTGCATGAAATCCAAAAATACACCGTGAAACTCAGAACATCTAGTCATCTTATTCAAGCATTATTCACATAAGAGCTTTGTCTCTTAGGCCTATTACAAACCAAGGAGTATATTTATCCATTTAAGGAAAATGAAATTTTAAAAATGTAGATGTTATAATGCAAAATAACTTTTAATGCACTGAAAATGTTATGTGTAATATACATGCATACTAGCTAAAGCAAAATTGAAAAATTCTCATGTATATTTTATAAAACGAAACTCCGCCTCCCGGTCGCTTCCGCACAAAACTTTTTGAGTTATCTGTCTAACGCTGCTATCCGATTATAGGTACTTTCAATAGTTTCTCATCGATTAATAATTAAAATATGTCACACATTTTGCATACAACCTGTATATCCAACGATTTAATAATTTTTATTAATGTACTTACTAACTGTGAAATGAATAAAAAGAGTAGTTTTTAATGTTCTGTATTGCAGAACGGGTATTTAATTTTTTTATTATTTCAGTTGCTCTTCTTTCAAATTTTTCAGTGTTAATTTATTTTTATTTTTTATTTTATTCATTTTAGTTAATTTTTTATGCTTACTTTTGAGGCGTTAAAATATAATTTGAAATTTTTTCACTGCAGTATTTTTCTTATTACAAACTGCTAATCAGTTTTCTGTCAATGAAATGTAAACGCAGTAATGGTGGTAGAGTCGAATATGATGTCAATGATAAATTTAATGAATTATTTAATGAGAGATTTCTATTCATAGAATGAGTTGATTTTTTTAATTCACCTTTGAAAAAAGGTAAATTAAACTCTGTCAGTAATAACAGCTCCTCTAAAATAACTGAATTTGTAATAAATAACAAATTATAGGACTTTGTGAAAAGCATAGAAATATACAGCGCTAGAAACAAAAGCGTAAAAACTCTTTTTTCTATTAGAAATCTTGCGAATTCGCTTTACACCTGTAGATCATCAAACGTCAATTAGATAATAGCGGTAGTGTTGAAGCTGATGTCTACGATAATCGTAATGAGTTATTATGAATGCTTGAATTGAAATTTCCTTTCATATTTATAAGATGATTTTTTTTAATTTTATCTATGATAGAAAAAAATTAAATCCTGTCAGTGACGACAGCTCTAAAATAACTGAGTTTTTAGCGATAAAAATGGAACAATATAAAAAGCATTACAAACAAAGCATGAGAAATATAAGAACATAAAAAAAGCCCAATCACAAAACATAGTATGGATAACGGAAGTTCCTATCGAATAGTTGGGTTGAAATTAAATATATTGCTTGTTTTTAAAAGGAAAGCAAAGGAAGAAATTTGAAACATTTAACTTAAAGAAGGAAATTAATGTCAGGATAAATTGAATTGTGGAGTCACCAGGCTTTTTTGAAGCAGGAGACATGAAAAATGTGCAATGCCCTCACCGAGATTCGAATATCGGATCTCCTGATTGCTAGCCTGAAGTGCTGTTCAGTTGTTACACTAGAAATGCACCCGGTGAGGAGGGTTAAAATACCTTGTAAAATTCAAAACTAAAAAGAAGTTTGTTAAATAATCATTTTTGACTCTAAAAAAACACCAAGGTATACGGACAGAAAGAAGCATATAACGGAAATAAGATGAGGCGTTTTAAATAATTGCGTTTTAAAATAATATATGTAAATATCAATAACAAGAAAGTTTCCGAGACCAGTACTTCAGTATGTGTTATAGAATTTTACGAAAGATCTGAGGTTAATTTAGAGAAATTTTAGTATGTTTAATTTGCTTATTTAATTGGTTATAAAAAATGTGTGTAGGTAATTTGCCTTAAAAAAGATGCTTTCGGGAAGAACTTTCCGAGCGAAAATAGTTCATATAGGTAATACAGGTAATGGAAACCCACGCAGACATGAGAAGCGTTGAATCTGGACTAGCTGCCAGTGTTAAGCATTTTTTATTCTTTTTACTTCCTTGTACGAAGTAAAAAGGAAGTATTGTAATCGAGAAAAGTTTCAGGCAGCATATTTCAACGAAAATATCCATTTTGACGGCTATCGAATGCAATTTAACGATGTCTTTGCGTTATATCTGTACGTAAGGACAGAATAAAATACTCTTTTCCTTCAAAAAAAATTATAAAACTGCTTTAAAATGAATTCTGAAGAGAATTTTTCGTGGCGTCTGTACGAACGTATGTACGTACGTGCTTACGTACGATCGTGCGTACGTACGTATCTCGCATAACTCAAAAACGAGTAGCCTCAGAACGTTGAAATTTTGTATATAGGACTGCTATAACATGTATATGTGCACCTCGTATTTTGTTTGCAATCGGCCGCACCAAACGTATATAAATATATTTATATATATATATCCACTCTGTTACCCGGCTCAGTGATCTCAGTTTCTTTACTCTTATATTTTGGTAAATTGTACATTTTTTGCTTTAAAAATGATTGAATTATGTTGTTTTATCTTCTGGTTAAGGATTTTATGCCTTTAGTAAATTTGTGTGCAATATTTTTGGAATTATCAGCAATTTTAAAGTTGTTTAATTGCCGCTAAGCCATTTTTAATGGCGGCCATTGTGTTTACATTTGAAACAGGAGACTAGTGGATTTTTTGCCAATCTAGAGAAACTTAGCTTCGCAACAACAAAGATAACGCATTCATTTATTATTGCCAATTAAATCATGCTTAATTCTTTCTGGAATTTTTTGGATGAAATAAGTGTTTGAGATTTACTTCGTAATTTTTAATATAGATATTTTGGGTTTTTATGTATTTTTGCCTTCTCGCGAAGTGAGAACTGAATTAATTGAATGAGAAATACTCAATCGTCTGTGAAAAACTGTTTCTTTTTTGTTTTGTTTGCTTAATTTCTTTTATGCATCATTCTAGTTTTATTATAGTATTTGAATAGAACATGTGGCAACGATTAGATAATTCTATTCTTTAAATGATATAAATTTTGTGCATTATGAGTTATAATATGAACGAAATATATAAGTGAACTGTTATATAATTATTGGATTATATAACAGTTAACTTCGTTTCCGTTATAAAATTATTATGTAAGTTAACTGTTATATAATTATTAATACTGTTAAGTGAATCTAGCGCCAGAGTGTCGCTATCGTAAACAAATACTAGAGTGAATTTTAAAGAATGCATTTATTCTATTGTGGTTTATGCGCTGTCGGCGAAGTAGATTTAATTCAATCTAATAAGTTTAAATGAAATGCAAGAAAAAATGCGTATAATTTAATATTCCAATACAAGGAAGTCATGTGGTGAACACATCAGATTTTTTTTTTTTTTTTTTTTTTTCCCTGTCAAACTGGCCCCAAAATTTTTCCGCTTGATAAATTTGATAACTTTATTTGGATACTTCCATATTCATCATAATCTACAATATGCGATGTTCAGTTTAATTACAGTTTTGTTCGGCAAAAGTGTCTAAAAACTTAAATCTTAATTTTTTAATCCTTCTATTTCTTTCCAACAGTTAGAATTATAGTTGTTGCTTTCTTTTTGCTATATTATGTAAAAGTTTATTTTGTTAATTTGAGCCAGGTGTTCTTAAGAAAACGGTGAAGTGTATATTCATTTCTTTCTTTATAAAAGGAAGGAGATGTGTGAGATTCCCTTGAAATGCATAGAATACGTCAGTGCAGAATTAACATCATTTTAAGATTGATTACTGCGTAAATTTAAACTTAAGTCAATGAGCTTCATTTCATATAACGGGTATTACTTATTCAATTTCATTATTTAATCTACAGCTATTGGATTTATAACATGAAATATGTGAAATTGAGAATGTCTGTGGTTAAAAGAAATAAATAATTTTTTACTCATTTTGCGTAGATACACATATATTATTTGTAAATAATTTTAATGGTAACATATTTCCTATTCATTAAAAATTTAATTTACTTTAGTAGTTCTTGAAAAGGAATGTTAATTTTGTTTAAAATAGCATTATCTTTGCTATGAAAATTCCGTAGAAATATAAGCTAGTTTTTCAAAAAAATATAAATAATAAACCTGTAATGACAGACAATATAATAAATGTACAGTACAAATATAAAAATGCGAGTAACGCATGTGTAATTTTCCTACCTACCAACATTTCTATGCATTTTATTCATAGAAGTACTACTACAAAACAGTAAAAGCTGTCCTAAAGTATGACTTTAGGACAGCTTTTACTGTTTTAACAATACAGCAATACAGCAACAACAATACAGCAATGAAATGTTTACAACAATACAGCAATGTTTACAACAATACAGCAATGAAATATGGATTTTTTTTTTTTTTTTTTTTTTTTTTTTTTTTTTTTTTTACGTGAGAAAGCGTTGGATCTGTGGAGGTATTCTTTTCCTTTCCTCTCAGTTAAGAAACTGTTCACTGCCACAACGCCAAGCTGTGCAATCCCAACACGGAAGTGAAAAACTTACCATTCTACATGCACCTCTTCATTCACGATCACCAGCATCTCGATCGAAAACAAAACAACACTAAAAACTAAAACATTCGACGAAAATGCATGACGCGTGAAAGGTAAGAAAAGAAAACGTTATGCCATGGATGCACTTGACTCGGGAGGGGGTGGAGGCCTGGAAGAAGCAGCCGGATCCGCAGGCGATGGGCCACCGGGCCATATTCGGCCACATTTTCAGGTTCGTCGACCGCGATTCACCGAGCCAGTTTTTATTCATTTCTTTTATTTCTTTTTTTGATTTTACATTGTTTTTATTTTCCCCGATACGCAAGGGTGATTTTTTCGACGATGCGGTGTTTTGAGTCGCACGCCAGCAGCATTTACCAGAGCAAGGCCAACCCCGTTTTCGTTCTCTCCTTATCCACTAGCTGACCAGTTGAGTCTCGTGAGTCTCTAGATCCGGTTCGAAATTCTGTGCGCGCTTAAGAAGAAAGGGCTTAGAAAGAAAAGAACATAACGGAACGCGCAGCAGGGACGTGCCGGAAACAAACTGAAAGTCGTTTTGGAAAATTTAATTCTGAAAGATTATTAACGCTGCAAAAGACACTGCAATGAAAACTGATTCATCGATCCCATAAAATCGAATTCGAACAATTATTAGCTCTTTTGTGTGGAAGCACAGATTTCTGAAGTATTATTAAAAAAGAGAATTCAGACGTCTAAACAAATTTCTGTAAAAGTTTTAGTATTTCTTTAACTTTATTGACGTAAATGATCATGGAGCTCATAGTATTAGCAACCAGTATGCTTCGTCTGATCTTAGTATCTGCAGTATACCTTCTTAACATAAGAGGACTTTTAAGATTGACTTGGCAACCCAGGGCGTGCATTCATGCCTTGACGACAGGTGCTGTTCTTCTTGCCGGTGTACTTTACCTCAGTAGCTGGGCACCATACATTGCATACACGTTGGCTAATGGTCACTGGTTGCTTCTAGGTGCTAGAAGGCATTGCCTCTTGCAACATTTCGTTGCTGCAGAAATTGGAGCTGTTCTGCTGGCTCTTTTAGCAGTAAGACTTATGTATAGATGTTTGGTGAGAGTTTACAAAAGACCCCCACCATCTGCCAGGGCGGCGAGTCTTGTTACCTGCTTAGCATGGTTAGGTCCTCAGCTCTTATACGATGCTGTCGCAGTGACCAGGGACGATACTACTCGGTCTCCCGACTCTTACCGTTTCTTGGACGATTTACTGGTGGTTCCTCAAGGTGCAAATGCTTCTCATGGTTACAGAGTTGGATTCATGATTTGCATGCAACTCCTCAGCGGTCCTGTACTAAGTTATTATGTGTGGCAATATCTTGTTCTTGTTCTGCCTTTGGCAGGATTAATCATCTACTGTTCAGCTAGGCTGATCCTTGCAGCTCATGTTCGGAGGAGAGACGTACCTGCTGATTCGTCGGTAGAAGCAAGAAATGGACGCTTTGGTGAGTTTATTTCATTTGCCATCAACAAACAAGTAATTAATTTTATTTAATATCTGTTCAACAATAATAGTCATTTTACCTGCCGCCATGTCAACGGGGCAGACTTTTGCTACACTTTTGTTTTGGGGAGACATGTAAATAATTCATGTTTAATAGTTATATAACTTTTTAAATGATTTGTAAATATTGCTATTAATGCCATGTTATTTTTGTGAAGCATTTATTTAAATATGAATGTCCCATATTTCACCTAAGCGTAAAAGATTACGTTAAAATAAATTCAGCTGCGCACATCTTAACAACAGTGCTAAAACTGAGGTTAAGGTAATAGAAGGAAAGAAAGGAATTTGGGTAAAAATAAAAATATTAGTTACTCCTTATAGTTCAAAGACATTACAGTTATGCAATCCGCGGAAAGAAGGAAAAATTATAATTAATGCGCATTTGCCAAACAATTCTCACGCGCTTTATGTTAAATTAATTTAATTGCAACGTTTTCAGAATTAACAACTTGCCGACATGTTTATTGTTTTAATAAAAAAAAAAAAAAAAACTTTTGATGCAGAAAGTGTTCGAAAATGTGGCTGCAAGCTTTTATTTGTTTAAATATTGATCCTGGAAATGCAATTCCATTTTCAAAGCTTTTCAATATAAGGTACAAAAGTTTATGAGAACTCTTTCAACTCTAAAGGTAGAATGGATATCAAATACCAACTCTTTCTATAGAACAAGAAATCTATTTAGTAATGCATTCATTATCCGCTAATAAATTAAACAATAAATATTCCTCAGCGCAAATTTTAATGAGAAATCAGTTTTTAAAAACTTCTAGGGAGTACATTAGAAAGTTAAATAATTGTGTTTCCCTGTAACTATTTCATTAGCAAATAAATCTGTTCTTGTTTTGGAATAGATCTCTGAGGTTTAAAAAAACTTTGCAACAGTTTTAGGGAATATTTAAATTCTGTTAAAAGTATTTATTGAAAAGTGATTTAAGTCAACAGCTTTGATTTCTAATATCTTCAAAATTTTTACATTTGAAGATGTTGAATGTTTTGTATTTATTTAAAAAAAGCGTGACCAAAATTTTACTAACTGGAAAATTTTCTGCACGTGGATCATATAAAAAGCTAAATTTTGCAGCTTCCGAGTACTGAAAACTTTCTCTTGAAACATACTTCCTTATTTTAAGAAATTTTACGTTTGGAAGTGCAGAATTTAGGGTCAATACATAATAAATTAAAGTCAGAAGGCATCTTTCTCAGATGACATTTATAGGAATAATGCAAATACCAATCATCTCTATTAGCATATTTCTTATAAAAAGCTTTTGTTTACCTTAACCTATAAGCTGATATACACTATTTCTTTGTATATTTTTTCATTCAGCTTTTTGGTGCCAGGCTCTGAAAATTTTATATAGATATTCGCGTAATTTTCCCCTTCCTCAATGGATTCAGAGAACGTGATTCCATAAACTTTAAAATGAATTCATTCAGGTAATGATCGTTTTCCTCTTATTAACAAAGACAATCCCTTGCAAACTACCTGCAAAGGTCACACCAAACCTGTTGAATTTTATGCAAACCTACTACAAGAACCTACCCATTGCGGTGAAGTAACACGAACTGACATTCAGTTTACAATTTTGTAGAATCAGCCGCATATTCACTTTCTCTAATTATTTATGAATGACTTAAAGGTCTAAGAAGTAACAGAGATAACTAACTAGTATAAGAGCGGGAGAGTTTCAACTTAAAAAGAAATAGAAATGAAGGTACCTTAGAGAAATAATATTGTGATTGTTAGCGGTACTTTATCCATGACTACATTCCTTTTGTTATATTTTTCTGAAGTTAAATGATTCACATAATTTTCCCCTCTTGATTTTAAACGATAAAATTAGTAAAAGAAGGGGAAAATACGCGAGGAAACAAGGTATATTAGATAATATTATTATGGCCCTACCCTCACCAAATCCTCAAGCATATTACTTACGGAACAGCAATAAGTATCAGATTCATCTATGTTCATTCCTGTTCTTTATGAAGCAGACAATGGCCGAGTCACTGAACACTGGTAGTTTGGTCCGCGGTTCGAATCCCAGCGAATTAGATACTGGATGGGCGTTTACGTGGTTTTCCCATGTGTAACGTGTATACGAGCTACAGTTTCCTTTAAAAAGTCCTCTAAGCAGGCCAAGCATCCCTTCCCTTAGGCAGATAGCCATCGCATCCTCCTACAAGTATCACCATAACATTATCTGACAAGCAATAATATGCGCTCACACCCAGAGCTTGCGTAACTCAAGCTCCAAATTCCAGTATCTAAAAAGTGGTAATTTTCTCATGAATTAAAATTTTATAAAATTTGTGGAGTATTTTCATAGTTGTATTCACAGGTCATATCATTCAAGCTTTAAGCAAATAACTGCTGAGAAATTTTGAATTCATCAGTACAAATTAATAACAATAACTGAAAACATAGCTCTGTATTAAACATTAGGCAAATTTAATAATTTGCACCAGAGGCTCCTAGCCTTTTCTGAGCCACCGCGCCCTATACAAAAAAAAAAAAAAAAAAAAAAAAAAAAAAAAAAAAAAAAAAAAAACCATAAAAAAAACATAACCATAAAAAATATTAAAAAATTGTTCATTAAAATTTTAAAATATGCAAAAAAATAATAAGAAAAAAAAATGTTTTTAAATCTTAAAGACGTAATTTTAATTACGTCCAAAGGAGCGTTTATTTAACGTTTTCTGTGTTACTTTTATTTATTAAATAGCATGTTCTACGTACTCAAACTTTAAAATTCAGTTCAACAGGAATATCGCAAATTAATTTTAAAATGAGCATATCTTTAGAATTTCCGATACAGAGTCTCGCGCGCTGGAGAGAAAATTTTTTTTCGTACAGTGTTGCCATTGCTCGCTTTGAAATCGTTTAGTTTTTTAATCAAAAATTCGTTGAAAATTCGTTTCCAAATTTTTAGCAAATAATAACTCTTGATATTTTTTTTTCTTCATGGAGCAATACTTTGCTATTTAGTAGAACTGATTCATTGAGTTTAATTAAAAATTTGCAAGTCTTAAAGCAATCGCATAGTGATTATCTTCATCTATTCTTTACTCCGAGTTATTGCTCAGAGAAATATTTCTGGTGATATCTGATGGTGTGTCATAATGAAGAAAAGTTTTAATTACGTCTCTGACTGTTGGCAAGCTTAATTTCTGCTTAACTGTGTGTGGTTCTCCAGCTTTTGAGATTAAGAATGAAATATTACACGACGCTCGTAGTCCATCATTTTCTTGTTTAAGAAAACGAAGCAAAAAGATTTGATAGAGTTGGTTATTTTAAATATTTCCTTTCCAGTCCTTGAAAGTAGCATAAATCTTTGCCTTTGTTATCAACATGTATCTTATTCAAATTCTCTTGTAGTCTATAAAGTTTCATATCTGTATTTGAAACATCTTTTAGCAAATTAAACTCATAGATAATGATTGGTTTGTTGACTAGGGCCTAAATCCATACTTTAAATACTCAATATTGTACTGTCGGCATTTCTTCTCAGATTCAGACGTTCTGAAATGCGAAACTGGCCGCGGTTTAAATAAATTAACTTTTCAAAAGATTTATAGATAGTTATAAAAATAAAGGATATGATGACTTCTATTAATTTCAGTTACAAATATGGATTATTGGCCAAGCACACTAAAGTAGTAAAACATTCCTAGAGCTATCTCTGCCTTTTATAGGTTTAATTCTGTTCACGTATCAACTTATATACCTTTGTTTATTTTCGACATTGGTGCACCTGCTGTGTAAATAGTCAGTAAAAGTTCCCATATTTTTCTGGAAATATGCTTGATTGTGTAAATTACGTCTTTGCTTAACAACTTGCAAAGACTTGTCACAGATAGTACTAAACGGAATTATATATATATATATATATACATTATGCTTATTTACTCGATAACAGTGAGATAAAAAATTTTAGATAGCTAGATAAAATGTTTATTCATAAAAACAGTAGGTATTTTCGAAGTATTTTATTACATTAATTTCCTAAATGGGTAGGTACGCCACGGCCGCCTTTCTTGAATGTCTCAATGCCCCCATTTTACTCTAGACCCGCTACCTCCCTCCCATGGAACACTCCAACACCCACTAGGGGCAGTACCGTTGGAAACCTACGATTTGTAAAATTCGTTGAACAAGCCAAATAATATTCTCTAACCAAGGTACATAATATAAAGGCGAAACAAAACGCCGGGAAGGGATTTTAGAACACGGTGCATGTATAAGCGACAAAATATTAATTAAATTTCAAAGGGGAAACACACCGTGGCACTTCATAACTAGAAATGGATTTAGGTACGATGGAAAAAATAACGTTGTTTTACAGAAGAATTTTGATTTAATCTTTAATTATCGGTCAAACTGTCTTCTTACAATGTAGATCAAAAACATGCAGCACTATAAAATGCAGCACATTATACATCATTCTCACAACTCTTGGTAATGGACAGAAACCGGAGCTTAAGTTAACTTCATTCAAATTCGTTTATCCTAGAAAACATAAAAGTAAATAAATAAGTAAATTATTTCCCACATAGGAAATATCTGGCTTGCATTATGTAATTAGCTCTTCTGTAAATCCGAGCAAATTTCTCTTAGAAAATGCTCCAAAAGATACACAATTAACTAATACTCAAAGAGTACTTGTTTGCTGTCTAGAAGAAACTAGTCAGCACTATTTGAAATAATACTTCAGAATTTCCAGTAGTGCCTTACAAAGCACCAATTAATCGAGACTCAAATATTGGTAGTAAAATAATTAACAGTTTTTTTTTCTTTTTTTGAAAGTTATATTGGATGCAAAACCTTATATATATGAAGATTAAAAAAGTTATATATGAAGCAAAAAAATTTTACTTCATATCTCATTTATTTTAATTACTAGCCGCTAAGCGGCCAGCCTGCGTCTGGATTTTAAATGT